GGGCCTGGCCGCGTCGTGGCTGCCGACAGTCCTTGGCCCAATGGCCAAGCTGGCCACAGTTGTGGCAGGTGTCGTCTCGTGCCGGCTTGTGCTTGCTGGCGGCGCCGCCCTGGGCGCCTCCACGGACATCACCCTCGACACGTCCTCGCGCCCTGGCCTGGGCGTCTCTGCGTGCCTTGCGCGGCTTGCCACGCTTGCGGCCGCCTATCGTGGAAGAAGGCTCCCCCTTCTTCCGGTTACCTTAGCAGGCAACCCACTGCTCCCGAGTGAGAAGAAGCTTCCTGCCAGTAGTAATGGGCCCCAAGAGAGACTGTGGCTCATCGCTGTCGACAACCTTGAGGCGACCTATCGCCTCCTCGATCGACATCGTGGAGAGATCCAGCAGAGACTCAATCGAGCGAGCCATCTGCTTGTACTTCTCGAGGACGCAGCGAAAGAGCTTTTCGACAGCTCTCTTCTCGTCGTAGGTGTCATCGCCGAACTGTACCATCTTCTGCAGCAGAGTGTTGAGATAGAGAGCAAAGTCATCAACATCCTCACCTGGCTTGAAGGCCAGGTTCTCCCACTCCTTGCGAAGTGCCTGCAGTGTGGACTTGCGGGCGCGGTCGCTGCAGATGTGTGCCGCAGCGATGGCGTCCCAAGCCTCCTTGGCAGTCCGCTTGTTGGTAAGCGAGAACTGCATCTCGGACAGGAATGCAGCGATGAGGGCATCTAGTGCCCGTTGATCCTGGTCGTAGTCGACGTCGCTGTACCGGACTGCCTCCCACATGTGCCGCACCTGGAGCATTACCCTCATCACCGCAGCCCACTCGACGTAGTTGGTCTTAATGAGGGTAGGCCACCCACCGTCGGGGCCGACGTCCCTGACAATAGCCTGGAGCCCGTGGTAACCACGGTACCGATCCAGGGAGAGAGAGTCACGCTGCCTGTGAAGGCCGCGCTCTCCATCGACTCGTCGCCACCGTTGCCGTGCGCGCTTCCTCCAGGAGCGCTGTCGGCGCGTCCACGCCTGTCTGGGCTGCCGCCGCGCTCGTGGGCGTGCGCGGCTGCCCACTGCGCCGCCCGCGCTCGCGCTGCCTCCCTCCCCAGCAGCTCGAGGTCCGCGTCGGCGCTGTCGTCAGCAGAAACAGAGCTGCTGATGCTACCGCGCAAAACCTCGACCTCTGCTGCTGCCGCACGCGCTACATCCGCCGCCGCCGCCGCTTCCGCCTCCGCTCTGGCTGCTGCCAGCTCCACCGCTGCCAGCCTCGACGCCCTTGCCGCCGCCGCAGCGGTCTCTGCTGCCGCTCGCTCGTGTTCCTCTGCCGCGGCAAGTTCGACCCCCTGCCGACGCCGCGTGCTCGAGGCGACCGAGCGCTGAGACTGCCCTGCGGACATGACGCGCTATCGGGGGGCTGCTGTGTGGGGAGAGGGCTGCTTCAGACGAGCAGAGGGAGAGGAGTGAGCAAGAGCGGCCGGAGCTGCTGCTGCTCCCATCTGGGGTTGTTGCGAGGCTAGGAAAGAAGATGAGCAGGAGATGCTCAGGCTACAGGATAGTACGGCTCTGATACCAGTTGTTAGTCGCTGAATTCTTACTTTTGATAGTAGCAGAATTCTTACTCTTATCGAGAGAGGATGACACTAGGAGTTGAGGTAATTTTCTGGTTTATTTCTCACATAAATGTCATGCCAACCTGAGGGGTTGGGGTATATATTTATAGGCCGCTAGCCAGCCGAGCATATGCCAAGGTGTTAGATGCTAACATGCTAAGATGCTGTCCTAGATGCTGTCCTAGATACTAAGATGCTGTCCTACAGCAAAACCACCATACAGCCACAAAGACCATATGCTGCAGCCCCACGAAAACTGGCCAGCGTAGAGACTTATCCCATCACTAAGGCTGCCCTTCTCCGCAGCGTTTGGTGTTGGCAATGTCCGTTTCACTCTACAGGATGCGATTCGGAAGGTGGGGCTGCAGTGGGAGGGCCGCCTCCACTGCGGTCTGGATGATGATGTAAACACCGCTCACCTCCTCGTTGTGCTCATGCGGCGGGGAACCCTTCTCAAGATCACCGGCTCTTTGGCGCCAAAGCAGTCACCTCCTTTCCCTGAACCTAAGGCGGCGCTGCCATGTGTTGGCCCGCGCTCGGTGGTGTCGACGCTACCTCCTCAGCCTCAGGTGCCGCTGCCACCGGGATGGACACAGTGCCGTGTTGCTTCTGTGGTGTGGCCAGCAAGCTAGGCGTGGTGGCCACGCCGGGCCAGATGCAGGGGCATTACTTCTACGGATGCGGCTGGTGGACTCCGACACGTTCTTTCTTCATGTGGGCAATATAACTGCCTGCAGTCTGCACAGGTAAGTAGTAGGTAAGTATTTGCCTTTCCCCTTTACATACATCATATGAATTTCTGGTGCAAAGGTTTATGATTATCTATTAGTTAAGTATATATGCACGCATTATTTAAGTTTGTCTTAGTCTCATAAAGGATACTAGGTTTTTTTTCACGCGTAAAATTCCTGGAACCTAGAGCTCAGATCGGGCCGCGGTGGTGTTGGTGGGAAGGTGCCACTCGAGTCAGGTTGTGTGGCGTTGTCTGCACGTAAAATCCCTTGCTCGTTCCACATCTTTAGGTGGCGGTAGACTGAATCGTGAGTAGCTTGTGGGGAGGCAGTTGCTGAACCGACTAATTCGATTGTGATTGTGATTCTTCGAGATACACTTCATCACGGCGCCAACTAAGCCTTCGCACAGACTCAATTCCAGTTGTCCGCCATGGAAGCAGAAAGCAGCAAGACACAGGAGCGGTATGATCGTCTCGAAGAAAGTATTGATCTCTTCTTCACCATGGTCTCCAGTATGGATACTTTCCGGCAACAGATGCAGGCTCAGATGCAGTTGAACTCTCACGTGGTTGAAAAAACAGTGACCAAGCAGATTGCAGAAACTGGTAGTGTGGTGGCTCAGTTGACCCTGCAACGTTCCACAGCTCCTGTTTTTGATGAACCTGAAAGCCCAAAATCTCACAAGTCAAACTCTAAGGCTGAGTTGTCTACTGAAAGGTGATGAGATGCATACCACTCGCTCTACTTTTGGTGCCAAACACACAAGGCCCAACACAGCAAATTACAACAGGCATACTCTCCCTAAGATGCATTTTCCAACTTCTGATGTCACAAATCCAAGAATCTGGAGGGACAAATTATTTCAAGATTTACAGCATCAGTGAGAACATGTGGGTAGCAGCAGTATCGATGCATATTGAGGGCAATGAAGCAAAGTGGCTCCCAGTTTACTAGCTCGGTTTATAAAGGCAGTGGAAACTAAGTTCGGTGTCTATGACTATAGAAAGGCTATGGCAGAGTTACTGGAACTGAAGCAAAAGAATACTGTGAATGATTACTTTTAAGCTTTTGAAGACTCACGCTGATAACAACAGAACAGATGGTGAATTTCATGCTAAAGGTCAGGTTTCCCTCTACGCGTATGACGTGGTCATGTTCCTCCGTCCGGTTGCTACAGATATTGATCTTGTAATGGATATTTTCCGGGTGTTTGGCGCAGCTACAGGGCTGAAATCGAATATTCAAAAGAGCAGCGTCAGCCCTTCGCTGCTCCACGGAGGAATTGGATTTGGTACAACGACAGAACTTACGATGGCGGTGGACCTGCCACCTTGGGCACTGAAGGCCATGGATAAGATCCATAGAGGGTTGCAAAAGGGGGACACTGCTTGCTGGATTGAACGAAAGTAACTCAGCCACTAGAACTCGGTGGTCTGGCGGCCACTAACTACTCTCCAGTATATATGCACGCATTATTTAACTTTGTCTTAGTCTCATAAAGGATACTAGTTTTTTTTTTTCATGCGTAAAATTCTTGGAACTTAGAACTCAGATCGAGTCGCGGTGGTGTTGGTGGGAAGGTGCCACTCGAGTCAGGTTGTGTGGCGTTGTCTGCACGTAAAAGCCCTTGCTCGTTTCACATCTTTAGGTGGCGGTAGACTGAATCGTGAGTAGCTTGTAGGGAGACTGTTGCTGAACCCACTAGTCCGATTATGATTGTGATTCTTCGAGATACACTTCATCACGGCGCCAACTAAGCCTTCTCACAGACTCAATTCCAGTTGTCCGCCACGGAGGCAGAAAGCAGCAAGACACAGGATCGGTATCATCGTCTCGAAGAAAGTATTGACCTCTTCACCATGGTCACAAGTATGGGTACTGTCCAGCAACAGATGCAGGTTCAGATGCAGTTAAACTCCAAGTTTACAAGCTCGGTTTATAAAGGCAGTGGAAACTAAGTTTGGTGTCTATGACTATAGAAAGGCTATGGCAGAGTTACTGGAACTGAGTATTACTTTCAGGCTTTTGATCATGCCAAAAATTGGAGCGTATTGGTGCTGCTGCATATAAATTGGAGTTGCTGACAGGTTCACAAGTTCATCCTGTATTCCGTGTCTCGCAGCTCAACCCCTTTACTGCTAACTACTCTACAGTTTTTGTGGTGAGGGTTGTGTGGCAATTGTTCGGTGAGGGTTGTGCGGCAATTGTTCGCATGTAAAATTCCTTAACTCGAGCTTGGATTTTGCTGCAGTGGCGTTGGTGGGGACATGCCATTCGACTCAGGTTGTGCGGCACTTGTTCGCACATAAAATTCCTTGGTCGATCCGCGTCCAGGCGTTGGGGAACGATTGAGTACTGGTTGCTGTACTTCTTAAGCCAGTGCTCCAATCCAGGTTGCTCTGCATGCTGATTTTGGGGATTCACATCACAGTGCCTCCAAAGCCTTCCCCCCAGACCCGTTTCGTGCTCCCTACCATGAGTGAACAAGAGCAGCATGATGAGGATCGTTGGTCTAGGGTGATGTATAGCTTGGATTTGTTGTCTGCCAGAATCAGTGGTATTGGGGCTTCTCAACAACACCTGAAGAAGCAACTTGCACAAACCACTGAGTTGGTAAATTAGTATGCCCAGGATCACAACAAACTGGAGCGTCACGTGGGAGAAAGTGGCTGGGCAATGGCTCAACTCACCATTGATAATCTGCGCCGAACTGAAGAGGATGGTAGTGATACTTCCAGCTTGTCCTTGCTGTCACCAGTGCCTTCTGTCCAACAACATCACAGCACCTCTGCCCGACACCTACCATCTCAATGTCCTGCTGGTGAGCTCAAATTTGGGGCCAATTCTTACAGAGAGGCTTTGGGTCAACTACTGGAACTCGAGCAGACTTCGTCTCTTCAGTATCAAATCTGTATGCATAACTCAGCATATGATGGGCATTTCTTCGTGTCTCATTTCATCAAAGGCTTGAAACTCGAAATTGGTGCAGCCATCAAATCTCAAGTTCCTGACAAGGTTGACACAGCTTATTGGCCAAGATTCAGCAACAAGTTCGAGAGAGTGGCAGGTTCAAACTACCATGGCCTACTCACACTGCTAAACTAAATGCTCTACCTCTGAATGGAAGTTGTCAACAACCGGCAGAATAATCAAAGCACGGGGAGCAGGCAAATCCAAATTGTTTGCTCTGCCACAACTGCCTAGAAACACACGTTCATCTCATGAGGAATTGCCCATATACCAAGCAGATTTGGCAAGCAGTTCACATTCATCGATGGTAAATATTAAAGATTGGTGGAGCTGGAGCACAATACTGCATCAAGGTACACTTAAAGAACTCATGCCATCGGCTATACACGGAAGGATGCTGTACGGTGTTTGATGGCAAAAACCTCGCACACTTGCAGCTCTCTGAATGGATTAAGTACAATGTTACAGATTTCCATCAACCCCAGGAGGAGCCTGGATGAAGCAGCAGATGGCACTTAGATTAGGATGCTGGAAGGGAAACATCGTTTTTTCCTTTCTCTACTCTTTTTTAGGAAGCTCCTGTACTTACTGTTCTGTTTCCTATACTATAAAATAATGAAAAGGCAGAGCACCTGCCGTGATTCTAAAGAACTTGCTAAGTGTCCTGTGTTCTTGCTGTGATAATCTGGTTGTAAAGATTTTTGGTTCCTTGTGAGTAATATAATCTTCAAGTGCAAATGAATGAGAATTCAGTGCGGATTTATGTTATGTGCTGTCGATGCTAGCCAAAAGAATATGATAAAGATATATCTGGTTGAAATTCACTCTCTGGTTTGTCTGTGAGTGTTGTGTTTTGTAATCAGAACAGTGGTTTCTCATATCAATGTAGAAAGAACAGAGGGAGGGGAGGGGTCATTCATATTGACAGTAAATTTATGTGTGCCTCTTTTTTGCATATGTCAATGGAGTGGAACACGATCTTCTATATATGGCATGTATTGTCTTTTTTCTTGGTATAAGGTGTATCACTTGTTTCTGGAATTGTTTATTACTGTAATAGAATATCTGGGATGCTTGATTATGCATTTTCAGCTGACTTGCTTCTGAAACATGGCATGTTCCAATTTGCATGCATTCTGAGCGGCAAACTAAAAGCTCAATGCCGTTCTGAAGTCTTTTGTTCTAGTATTCAGTTAGTTACAGTGCTAATGTGTTTGCATATGTCTGTTTGTTATTTTTCTGCTTCTTTGTTTCAGAGAATCTTGTGCTTGTTACTATGAGCTGCTGCTCTCTCATGATTTTGAGAATGAAATGAAGTAGCCATAATCTTGTCAGTTTGTTTTGTTGCTGGATCATTCTTTAACATTCTGTTAGTGATTTCTGGCTATTTGATCTATATATAAATAGGCAGCTTGTTTCCTACTATAACAAAATGGTGGAGGACTTGCCAATTCTTCCTAAAAAACACTTGGTAAGAGTCCTCTGTACTTGCTGTAGTAATCTGGCTCTAAAGATTCTTGGTTCCTTGTTGATAATATAATCTTTGAAGTGCAAATGAATGGAATATATTTGGCCAGAATTCAGTGTGAATTTTTATTAGGTCCTTTGGAATATATTTAGTAGGCTCCATCACTTGCTTTTGGAATTGCTTAATAATAGAATATTTGGGAGGCTTGATCATGCATTTTGAGGTAACATGTTTCTGAGGCTGTTGGTTCAGAATAGAATTGCCGAGTTCCACACCGAGCTGGAGCTTCTACCTGTCAAGGTTCTTGAGCATCCTTGCATCAAGCATGCGGTAGAGCTTGAGCAATCCTTCATGGAGGGTGCCTACAACCGAGTGTTAAGCGCTCGGCAGGCGTGCCACATGAGACCTACGTTTACTTCATGGACCTTCTCGCGAAAACAGTTACGTGAGTGGGCTTCTGTTACTCCTGGTTATTTGATTGTTTGATTTTATCTTAATGGAGATGCTATTGTGTTTTTCTGCTCTCACAGAGATGAGATCGCTGGGTGCAGCGAAAAGGGGTATGATTCCCTGTCTGTAAGTGATGCAAAGCAAATGCTTATGTTCAGTTCTGACAAAGATCTGCACTAGTACATCACAGAGGTAATTCTAGTCTTTTATTAATTCTGCCCTCCTTTTTCTGAGTGTATTTCTATGTGAAACAATATGATAGTCAGTGTAAAGTCTAATCTTGTGAACATCATTAACAGGGGCACCCGGAATGGGAGATTAAGAACGTGCCGTCTTCTTCTAGAAGGCGAAGGAGTCGCAGCCCTGCAAGGAGATCCCATCCTTGCAGCTCATCAACCAGGCGCTCAGCTACGCGAGGGAGCTGGAGCGTATTGTATGATTTAATTTCACAGTAATCCCTGGTGGATGTTTATTTCTGTGGTCACTTGGCATGCCCTGTACTGTCCTTTACGTTAGAGATTAGCTCTGATTGCCGCTCTGAACTGTCTGAAACATCATGTGAATCTCTGAAGAGCTCGATCCCCTGGCATTGGTTTGTTAACTCCATTTGTATTTCATCACATTAACTGCATTGTTTGAAAGGTGCCCGGCATTCACTGCTGCTGTGAACTTTTGATGGGCTTAAGATTGAATTACTACATCGAAATTGCACTTATTTTGTTTTTTCAAAAAAAAAAAAAAATAAAGAGGAGAGGGGGAGACTGGTTACGTTGACAAGATTGGTCATATTGAACATACATCCCGTAACGAAAATAGACCCTGATCCATTTACTTTGGATTTTGGTGTTTTATGACCGAGACAACCAAATTGGACTAATGAATTTACAAGTAATTGTTTTGCAGTTTAATAAGGTGCAAGACGTGACTTGGACGAAGACGACATGATGATCCCACGATCAACACCATAAGCAAGACCTAAGATATCAAGCAAAATCCAAGCACGAAAATGGGAACCAAGCCGGACGCAAGATCACGAAGAAACGAGCTCGACAGAGGTGACCGGACGCGGCCCTATGAGGACCGGACGTGTCTGATCAGTGGCTCGACAACAGTAGGCGTCAGCAGCAGCGACCGGACGCTGAGCGAAGCAATGACCGGATGCACCGATGACACTGTTCTTCGTCACGGCAATGTTTTCAGCGTGACCGGACACAACGGCACTAGATGACCGGACGCACAAAGTTCAGCGTCCGATCATGTCCAGAGAGGTTCCAGAGCGGCGGAATTGCGACCGGACGCGTCCGGTCGATGATAACCGGACTCGGCAGTGCGTCCGATCTCTACACGCGTGCTCAACGGTCAGGACGACAGCAGCGTCCGTTCAGTAGCAGAAAGCTAGGTTTCGTCCCCAACGGCTACTTTATCCATGGACTTATAAATAGACCCCCAACCGATCATTTTAGCAGTGGAGAAGTGAGGAAACATACCAAGAGTCTTGATACACTATTTTAGTGATATCCACTTGCATAGTGCTTGGTGATTAATTAGGTGATTAACGTAGGTGCTTTGCGAAGTGCTTAGGTTGATTAGACCACCGCTTATGCGCTTGCTCTAGGTTTAAGCCTAGTGTTTAGTGAGGTTTGCACAACTCTTACCACTCGGTGTTTGCGCGCACCATTGTTGTACATCGGAGGGTTTGTAGTCTTGCGAGATCACACAAACCGCGTTTGTGGTGTGGCCGCCACCGTGTACCGAAGGGAGCTTGATAGTGAAGACGGCGGGGAGCGGTCCGGGAGAGGTTTGCCGGAAGACACACCGGAGGCCCACTTGCGCGTGGGGAAGACCCGGGGCTATCCACGGAGTTACCCGACCGGGAGCTTGGTCCTTGCGAGGGGCTCCAACGAGGACTAGGAGGAAGTTTGCGCGCTTCTCGATACCTCGATAAAAATACCGGAGTCGTCGATGGAAGTTTGCATATCTCTATCTTACTTTTTAGCTTCCGCATTTACATTGTTTGCATAACTCCTTTTGCAGTAGAGATAGCAACACACTAGCAAAACCGTAGTTGCACATTTAGATAGTTTATTTTTTACATAGGTTTTTGTTAAGGATAAAAAAAAAGATCATAATTTAGAGTTAGAGTTTTAAATTGCCCTAATTCACCCTTCTCGTAGCCATCACGCTCCCTTTCACGTCCCTCAACTGTCGGTGTTGTGGTTAAAAAAACACACAATTTTACCTGTTTATTATTATTATGTTCTGTAAAGAATACTAATGAGAATAAACTATCGAACGGGATCAAAGTCATGCACACCTTTTTCATGTGTCATTGACAATAAATTGGAACTGGGTCTTGTCTGAAAATATCCTTTTGAGTGACTGGGAGCGGTTGATTTTCGCTTACTGTTATTTTCGAAAATGCTTGGTGTTCCTCGCAACCGCAAACATAAATAAGATGGTAAATCACATGCATACTTGGAAGCCTAAGCCTGATCGATTAATAATGTTATTCCCTAAATTCCAAAGGCGGTGCCTTTCTCTTTTCGGTCCATAGCAAAGGTCGTTTTCCGTCGTGGCACGCTCGCACACCCTGAAGCTTTAGACGAGCTACTCTATCAATCAAGTTACAGTTTAATGTTTTCTGAAGTCATCTATTTAATATTTAACTATTACTTTTACTATAATTATATACTAGAAAAGATAGAAAATGTATATTTTAATAAAAATATTTCTCAAGACAAATGTACTTGTATCACTTCCAAATATGTGACGAAGTATATGTAGTTAGAGTCACAAATGGTGGACTTGCACTCCTGCACGCCGTCAAGTTGATAACCAGTTTTAGTCATTGCGTTCGTAGGTACTGCTAGTGGGTCGATTAGCTGATGTAATAGGCGTGACTGAGAGCTTCCCTCCCGCTCCGCGCGTGAGCCCCTCGACGGCGCCCACTCCGGGCCCGGCGTCCCCAGCCTGCCGCCACCGCTGCTGTTTGGCCGGTCTGCTCCGCCCCTCTCCGTGGGTGGAGTGCAGCCATGGGCACCCTTCGGTAACTTCCGCAGTGCGCCCAGCCACGGCGCCTTCCTTTGCGCGCCCCTCCGGCCGGCTTCTTGCTGCATCGGACAGTAATCGATCAACTAGACAAACTAAGGAAACGTTGCGTTTGGAGAGGGGCTGATGTCAATGCCAAACAAAAGCCAAAAGCAGCCTCGCCAAATGTATGTAGATCAAGGGATCAGGGAGGACTAGGTGTTTTAAATATCAAGACTCAAAAATGAAGCCCCGTTGATTAAGCATCTCCATAAAATTTTCAACAAAGATGACATCCCTTGGGTCTCCCTGGTTTGGGAGAAATATTATGACTCTGGAAAATTGCCAAGGAAATGTGAAGAGGGGTTCCTTTTGGTGGAGAGATATATTGAAGCTACTGGATAAATTCAAAGGGATGGCAAGGGTTGAGATGAGCAATGGGAGTTAGGAAGACTTATGGGGAAGTGAAATTCTCTCACAAAAATTTCCTGAGCTGTTCTCTTATGCAAAGAAAAAAAAAGATAGTGTTTGCTGAAGGCAAAGCTCAAACTCCCATGCACAACCTATTTCATCTACATCTATCTCAGCAGGCACATACACAAATGCTGAAGTTACAAGCAATCTTGGAAGAAATCACTGTTAATGAAGCACCAGACACCTGGTTTTACATCTAGAATTCAAATCTTTTCTCAGTCTGAAGAGCTTACAAGCATTTGAGTGGTCACCTAATACTACACCCTGCATTCAAATGGCTTTAGAATTGTTCATGCCAACCCAAGCACAAAGTTTCTTTTGGATGTTACTGAAGGATAGGTTAAGTACTAGAGAATTTCTGAAAAGGAAAAACATGGTTCTACAGGACTACAGTTGCATACTCTGCAATGCCTCTATTGAAGAATCTTTGACACACTTATTCCTTGGATGTCCATTTGCCACACAATGCTGGGCTATCATTAACATCCACGTTGACAATGGCATTATCCCTTCCAGAACCTGCAAAGCTTCAAAGATCAGCTTCAAGTACCTTTTTTCATGGAAATCAGAGTTCTGATGTGTTGGACTATTTGGAAGGCAAGGAATGACATGATTTTTCGTCAGATGAATCCAAGTATCCAGCTCTCAAAGCAAAACTTCTTAGATGAATTCCAACTGTTGCTGCTGAGGGCAAAAAGAAGCTACTCCCCAGGGATTAATCAATGGATTGCCAATCTTCTTTAGCATGGCTTCTGGCGGCAGTGGTTGCACTGCTTTTTCATGTTTCCTTCTTTGTTTCCTAATCCCCCTGCTGCTTGCTAGGCCCTTTCAGTTTTAGTTTAACTTGTTCTTTTGTTTGTAATCTGAACCTGTTTTTTCTTAATAAATATGCTGTAGGGGCGCAAACCCCTCCAGTCCCTCTAAAAAAAAACAAAAACAAATGGTGGACTTTAGACAACTCTACTTATCTATAACTTATAATCCGTACTTTTTCAGCTTGTTTTTTTCAGTCGAAACAGTGTTTTTCTCTCACAACAAATCAGCCGGAACAGTGTTTCGGCTTGTTTTTTCAGCTAAGCGAACGGGGCCAACGAGGGCGTAATAGTATATAGGTAAAAGTTTCATGCCCTGTTTTCAGGGTTTCACTAGTATTGATGTAGCAGCAATGAAGTAAATGGGGGATGCACATTACTACAATTCATCTGATTTTGTTACCGTCGGCATGTCAACATGGAGGACACTGATTCCTTGCTCGTGTACACGAGGAAGATCAAATCATATAAATATGCACCTTCAAATTCCATTAGGCATACAATAACACACACCAGGGAAATAATATCTAGTCGACAAAGGCTGCCTGACCATGTCTTTTTTTGAGAGGTGCTGCCTGACCATGTCTAGTGTACATGCTTCAGATATTTTTGAAATTTGGATTATGAGAACATTACTTGCATAATGTTTAGTGCTAATGGCCTTACGTAACACTTGGGGTGTCACAATTTGATGCTACGCTAGTGAAAGGTCCTAAATGGCTAGAGGGGGTTGAATAACCTATAAAAATCTCTATAAAAATACTAGAGCAAAGGATTAGTAACCTAAATGACGAAATGCAATTTTTCTCTAACTCTACAAGGGTTGCAAGCTACCTACACCGCAATTCTAGTTCTTTACAATCTATAAGCACAAGCAAGAGGCTATATCACTACTCTTACACTAGTTGAGCTAACTAGCAACTAAACTAGAGACTAAATAACTAGCAAGCTACTCAACTAAACAAGTATGAAACAATATAATGCAAGGGAGATGAGTAGGGTGATTATACCATCCGAGACAAGCAATCAACCAATAAATATGAATACCAATGAACACCGTGAGATATCAAAGAGATAAGAGACACGATTTTTCTCCCGAGGTTCACATGTTTGCCGGCACGCTAGT